GCAAATGGAATCCCTACCCTTCAGGAACTTAAAATTTGAAGGATCCAGAAGCAAATCATGTTGACAATAGATCTATGTGCAAATGTGAACAAAATGCTTTGGAAACACAGGACAGAGAATGAAAAGTTAGTAGAGTGGACAAATCCACAACAAACAACAGCTAAGAATCTATAGCAAAAAGAAAAGAAAGATTTCTCAAAGGAGGTGATCATTAAGATAGACCTGTAATGGTAGTTAAAACATTTAAAGATAAAAAAATGAAAGCTCACAGTATTCAGGTTTGCAAATTACCTGATTGTGACAATGAAGCAGAGCAATCAGAGTTAAAATTTCAAAGCTGCATTTGTCCTCCATACCACATCTTGTTTTATCGCAGGTAATGGAGCATACATATCCCCCACATGCATTTACAGCTCTGATGAACTTTAAAAGGCATCTTATGTGAGTCAAAAGACCAACTCATGTTTTCTTTTCGTGTGATCTCATATTTAATTCATTCTCCGGATCAATAGTTACGTGCCGAGAAACTGCTTTCCAGTAGTGTTGTGGAGTATGAAAAAGCAAAGAGAAATCAATTTCTCTTTCCTGTCTCAGGAGACTCAGTGCCTTTTGTATTGCTCATGGCAATAGTAGTCTCAACTTTTTATCTGCATTCTTGAAACTCTAAACATTGCCAGTGGTGGGAGGGGGGACCGGGATGGGGAATACATGTAAATCCATGGCTAATTCATTTCAATGTATGACAAAAACCACTGCAATGTTGTAAAGTAATTAGCCTCCAACTAATAAAAATAAATGGAAAAAAAAAAAACATTGCCAGTAATAGGGCCATATTCTGAATGTTTGAAACCACTTTAGTTGTCATCATTACCACTGTTACTGATAAATTATTAAGCTCCTATTTGTGAAATTGCTGAAATGAGCATTGTATGGAACAAGTTTGATAGGAATTTTCTGGAGGTTTAATACTTAGAATTGTGCATGAAAATAAAGACTAAGTATGTGCAAGATTTTGAAAAGTGTAAGAAAAAACCCCACTATGTTGAGAGTCAAGAATGATAGCATCTAGTTCTGTGTTCCCACTTTTACTGAACTCTCAAGCTCTTTAGTTGTTAAAATCTTTTTTAAGTACATTCCAACTGATCCAGACCTTGTAAGAAAGAGTCTTCATGTTTTAAGTCAAGTTATTGACAGTATCTTATTTTATCATTAAACGTTTTCTTTTTCTATTCATCTGACAGGACCTATAAAAGGCAATATTTTTAATCATTTCAGTTTTGGCTGCTGTTTCTTTTGCTAATGACAAATACTTTCTAATTTTCTAATACTTTTCTAAATACTGGGGTATAGAAAAATTAAAACAGTTATTGTAGACTATTTAGAAAATAGAATGAGATCACTGTACATTTGTACTTGTTATGTCATGTGGCCAGAACAGTATTCCAAGGAAAATTCATAGCCACAGGTATTTTCATATTAACTGAGAAAGATTAAAAATAAATAAGCCTATTAGCCAGTTCAAGAGTTATAAAAAGAACGAAAAAACCAGTATGATGGCGAGAGTAAAGAATAACTGTAAAACTGGATGAATCAGGAAGCAGAGGAATTAAAAATTAAATGCAAGATCTTTGATTAACCAACAAAAAGAGCAGGTAAATCTCTGGAAAGAACAGTGGAAAATGAGAAAAAATTAATATATAACTGGGAAATATAAAGGATATATAACAATGAATGGAGTATTTTATGAGATATGTATTGTATGCAGTCTATGAGAGGACTGGAAAATCTTAAGGAAATGAGTGCTTCTCTTGGATATTGTAAACAGCGAAAAGGGAAAGAAATATGAAACTTGCAATTAACGACATTATAAGAAAGTTTTAAAATTAAGAGCTCTTCCTCCAAAATATATATAGTCTAGATTCTTCAACTCTGAATATTTAATTTCTTCTGCATTTTCAAGTATTTGTAAATGTAGATAATGTTACAAAACATTCTGTACCATTTTTCAAGGTGGTATGGTAAGGACTGGAAAAAGGAATCAGCACTTGAATAGGAACCTAAATGGTATTCTTCTAAAGAAAACAAACACAGCAAATAAATCCAGAAGAAGGTTAGAAGTAATCAAACTAAGCTTATCTAAGGATTGGATCAACCTAAAGAAATTTTTTAATGTAACATGCCAAGTGGTAAAAATTCTAGGACTGTATTAATAGATATTGAAAAGGCAGGTGATAAAATTTAATGTCAGTTATTGACAAAAGGAAATTTTCAGTAAATTAGGAATAAAAGGTGCTTTTATCTTACGATATATCAAATTTAAAGTGACTCACTGGGGGATTCCCTGGCTGTCCAGTGGTTAAGACTGTGCTTTCATTGTCGAGGGCATGGGTTCAATCCCTGGTCAGGGAACTAAGATCCCACACGCCACACTGCACAGCCAAAATAAATAAATAATTATATTAAAAATTGTAAAATGACTCACCAGATCCCGTGTGGAGCAGCATTCCCATTAGGGTGAGGAAGAAGACAAGGGCCCATGGGATTCCCACTGTAATGCTACTCTGTTCTCACAGGGCCACTACAATGAGACCAAACAACTAATACCATCACAAGAGAACGCACAAGAAGATTCAAGGCTAAGGAATGTGTGTTTCAACTATTAAAATATATTCACACTGGTCTTCCATATGGGTGGTATTATAGGCATTTTGTACTTTTCTCTTCTTGCTTCTCTGTATATACTGTACATAACTTCTGTTGCCCTTTTCTCTGTTGATATTTAAAATAAGGCAACAAACATTGAGAAATCATAATTCAAAAGAGAAGACAGCTTCTTCTCTTTTCAAATGAATGGCCTAAATACAGTTCACTGTTTTACTGTCTGCAGTCCTCGTAAGTAAAAGCAAAAGAGATACTTGATATTTTTCTGAAGTCTTAAGGCTAAAGCAAGACTGAATCAGATTCCTATCTCTCCAGGGCTTTACTATATGCAAATAATCAGTTTTGTTACAATCTCTATCTATTCCCTGCCACCCTCCTCCCTGCAGGATGCCACTATCTGGTCTAACATTTCCTAAGATAAGTTCATCTAGTCTGACTTTGTTTTCAGGGGTTAGTTATTCAGGCCCTTCCTTCTAGGAAATTTCCATTTCCCCTAATAGTGAAATTTCTGGAATGACTGGGTTAACTTTTGGCCATGTCTCTCTCTAGTACAACTTTTCCTGACTCTGTACCCTGGCAACCGAGGTGAAGGAGATGAAGAAAAGCTCCTTAAGTGGAGTTAGCTAACAGCAGTGGGTCATCTACAATAAACTATCACCCTAACCAGGAAGGGGAAATGAGAAATGTAGTTGTTGATATTTTCCTTGTTGTTTCTTTAAAAATCCAAATTTTCTATTTAACAGTGGGGTCATCCAGTCTGATTTTTCTATTCATGGTTTTTAAGCAGCAAGGTAGAATTTGGGGACTGAACTCATGTAGAGGTGGCGTGGTAGAGAGGAAAGCCTGCTGGGGTCTTGATTGGCATCTGTAGAATGCCCACGAGGGGACGGTTCTTCTCCACTCCACTCACTTCTCCACTCAGAGCATCTCTGAGGTTTTGTTACAATGTCCGTTTTGACCAGTGATGACTCAAGATACAGTCCAGTTCAGCATGATGGAGATAGGGTTCAGCTCTAAGTCATCCAGGCTGGTAAAGCAACACCCATTCCACTTCTCCTGTTGCCACCAATGCCTTAAACACTGAATTCTTGGTTTTCTCATATGTAAGATGATTATAATGCAGCAATGTGGGGCGCTGTTTTGAGGATTAGAGAAATAATCCAGCGAAGCTAGTTCATGGTGAAAGTGAAAGTTGCTCAGTTGTGTCTGACTCTTTGCGACCCCATGGACTATATAGTCCATGGAATTCTCTAGGCCAGAATACTGGAGTGGGTAGCCTTTCCCTTCTCCAGGGGATCTTCCCAACCCAGGGATCGAACCCAGGTCTCACGCATTGCAGGTGGATTCTTTATCAGCTGAGCCACCAGGAAAGCCCAAGAATACTGGAGTGGGTAGCTTATCCCTTCTCCAGGGGATCTTCCTGACCCAGGAATCAAACCAGGGTCTCCTGCATTACAGGTGGATTCTTTACCAACTGAGCTATCAGGGAAGCCCCAGTTCATGGTAGGTAGTTCCTACCTACTGTTGTATAACTGCACTGACCATTGTAGTCACTAGCCACATATTTTTACATTAAATTAATAAAAATTCAGTTTCTCAGATGCAGTAGCCGCATTTCAGGTGCTCAACAGCCACCTATACCTAGTGGCTAGTCTATTGTATGTGCTGTATACATACTATATATTGCAGGTATAGAAAGAACATTTCCATCATCACAGAATGTTCCATTGGGTAGCACTGCTCTATGTCATTAACTTTGATTTTACACAACTGCCAGACCTTAGGGCTGACCAAAAGCATTCTCTTTGATTTGGAAGCTCTCCTGAATGTTTACCTGTGGAGGTGAGAGTCAGATGAAGCCAGTCTTGGAAGGGTGTCCTTTGTTCACCAGAGATAGAAAGGAGTGATGTTTGTTTCCTAAATTAAGATAGCCTATCTATAAGCCAGATATTTCAGCCCTGAAAAGACGGGAGAGTTTACAACGTAAACCTCCAGAAAGGACTAATTCTTTCCACTGTGCATTTAACCAGACAACAGAAGGAAGGGCCGGGGAGGATTCCAACTTCTGAGTCAGCAGAGAAAACATTCTTTGGAGGTAGAGTTTGGAAAGGACAACTAATCTGTTTTCCAAACATATTTTCATAAATAACTGACAGGAGATGGGCTGCTTCTATCAAAGTATTAACCCAAGTGATGGGGGTTAATCATTAAACCTTTTAGGTGGTGGCTTGCTTCTTTGTCTCATATTCTAATCCGGGTCACAGAATGGCTAAGGCAGCTTTAAGTAAAGGGTGAATTTTTTTTCCTTCCGTTTGCCTTGTGTTTTCCACTCTGAAAGAATGTTGTGGCTGCTCTTTTTTCTAGTAACTGCTATTCGTGCCGATCTCTGTCAACCAGGTACGTAAGCCTTGAAACTTCGAAATAGATTAACAGTTTTCAGAACGATTGACAAGTCTCTGACTGAAAGACTTCTTTATTTTTCTAAATCTGCTGCTGTGTTGTGGCTTGAAACTTGAGCCTGTGAATGTTTTATGAGTTTGAAAGAAAAGTTTCAACCATGTAAGATGATTGCAGTTAAACTTTCAGAAGTATTGGGGACATTTTAATTGCAATCTTTGTTCTATTAATTTTTTTTAAAAAAGTGAAAGTGAAAGTTGCTCAATCGTGTCCGACTCTTTGCAACCCCATGGCCTGTGCAGTCCGTGGAATTCTCCAGGCCAGAATACTGGAGTGGGTAGCCTTTCCCTTCTCCAGAGGATCTTCTTGACCCAGGAATCGGACCGGGGTCTATTGATTTCAGTTTCATTAAATATTAGGATTTATCAGGCTCCATTTTGACAGATTTTATCATCATGTACTGCTCTTTTTTCTCTCTGGCAGATGCAGAAAATGCTTTTAAAGTGAGACTTAGTATCAGAACAGCCCTGGGAGATAAAGCAGTAAGTGCAGATCCTGCATGTTCCCTTAAAATTTTGTTTGCTAATAACACTGCTTTCTCAGATAATGAGCCTCTATGCATAGTTATCTTAAACTTGCACAAACTACTTCTAAAGACGTCAAATCTGATATTTTCTTAAAGCAAAAATATTTGTAGTAAAATAGAAATTGTTAATAAAGTGATTTTGCCTGACTTATTTAATCTGCGTTGTATCCTGGAAAATATGCGAAGTTCTGTACTACCCAAAACAGGCCTGGTTTGGGCTCTCTTCCTCACTGTGGTGGTCATTTGAATTTTGTCAGTCACTTTTCTCATCATTGAAAAGAGGGCATGTTTCACCTATGTAAGATCTTTCATAGCACAAAATGTTCCACTTCTGTGGTCACTTGTCTTCAATTCTCAAATATCAAGAAAGCAGCATGAAATGTATGTTCATGAAATTAAAGTTAATAAAACACTCATGGGGCTCCGATAGCTATAGGAACAGTAAAGACTTGAATTAATGAGATGGAGTTGTGTCATTCTAGTTTCAGTTTGCCTGTGTGGTCTGTGAAAATTTTCCCCAATAGAAGGTGAGAGTAAGATGCCTCAGGCTAGAGATGATTAAAAAAATGCTGAAGAAACTTGGACATATTCGGTTTGTAAGGCAATCCACCATTTTGTTCACTCAGTGAGTAATAATCATTCTAACACCAGCATTCCTTGAGAACTTAGCGTTCTTTCTGCCTGGGACCCTTCTAATCACTTTGCCCACATTAGCTCTTTTGGCTCTCACAACAACCTTTTGAGGAAGATGACATGGGTATTCCCATTCTCATTAGGTGGATGAGAAAACAGAGGTGCAAAGACATTAAGTGACCTACTCATGATCTCAAGTCAGCAGGGGGCAGTGGTCAGGTTTGAGGGCAGAATCCACCATCTCTGCCAGTGCGTAGGGTTGCTTTTCCCAGAATCCTCTGAGTGCAGGCACCATGCTGGATGCTCGGATGTGGTACAGCTAAAACTAGACTTATCCTTGCCCTTGGGGAGCTTGTAGTCATGGGATTGGTTGCATATTCAATAAACCAAATGCAAGTGTGCAATCTCGACAAGCATTTCAGGAAAGAGAAATCCACAGGGACTCTGGCCTCATTAGAGGCCACAGGACCTGGCATTTGCTGTGAGGTCTAAAACACTAGTAGAAGTGAACCTGGGGAATACAAGGAAAGAGGGTGAAGGGACTAGCACATGCAAAGGCTTATTACAAGGGAGGAACTTGGGAGGAGTGAAGGGTGGAGGGATGGCCAAGGTGTTTGGAACTGGAGCAGTGCAGCGGAGCATCACATGTAATAAGCTTCAAGAGAAAGGAGGGGTCAGGCCAAAGAATGTATGGATTGTGTTGAGGAGTTTTGGTATTAATTTCTAAAGCAAGTGGGGGTTTCGTGGAAGGGGTGTCATGACAGAATGTGTGTTTGCCAGACACTTTGGCCACAGAGCAGAGGACAGACTCAAAGAGACTAGAGTGGACAGAAGGAACCAGTTGGTAGGCGGTGGGAGCGGTACAGGTCATTTGGAGTCTGGTGTGTTGATGGAGAGAGGGGCAGTGAAAGGTTTTGAGAGCCATGGGATGGGATGACAACAGAGGGAAGAGGAAAGGTCAAGGATAAGCAAGTAGATGGATGATGGCCCATTTATGACTCAGGGAACTGAGAATAGATAAGAAAACCATAGCTTTTGGACTTACTGAGTTTGAAGCATTATTGAGCTGGCTTGAGATATCCATTCCCGCGTCACTTGCACTGAAGTGATGATGACAGTGCTGATGAAGGTGGAGGATGGCCAGAGAGGGGCTGGCCTTGAACTTCGTGATTCTTAAAGCCTTTGCAGAGGAGGGGGAACTTGCAAAGGAGGTGGAGGGACAGCAGGAAAACCAGGAGGATGCTATGTCAGGAAAGGGAAGAGCGTGCTTTCAGATGAAGGGAGTGTTCAAGAGTGTTGAGTGCTGTTGAGGGGCCAGGCGAGGGGAGACTGAAAACTGCTCATTGTGTTGAGCAACATGAAGGTCATTGGTAACGTGAGAGAGCTGCTTTTTGGAGTGCAGGGACTGGAAGGCAGGTGGAGGAGGTTCAGAATACGCAGTCAGTGACCAGGTGCAGACAGAAGGATGGACAACTCCTTCAAGAATTTTGGTTGTGAAGGGCAGGAAAGAAACGACAATGGGTAGAAGAAGGAGGACTGAATAAAGCAATTTGGTTTTGTTATTTTAATGCGAAAGACTTAAGCATAGTTTGGAGTCAATGAATAGCCTCCAGTCAGCATTGAATGCACAGAGGGAAACTGATATAGTTTAGATCCAGAGAAGGGCCAAAAGGAAGCATTCCTAAAGAGGTGGATAGAAGGGCCATTGACCAGAGGAGAAACACCACATGTGGCCCTTGGGGGAGGATGTGGATAAGACATGTGCCTGTGGAAGAAGTTTTGTACTTGGTGTCAGGAGGGCAGGAGGTGGGACATGTGTCAGTGGATGACCTGAGATGTATCTATTACTTAAGAAGCAAGAGTGCCTAGTGAAAGTGAGGAATGAGGGAAAGCACAGAGATGTGGGGGTACGGTGGGGGCTGAAGGAGATTTGAAACAGTCATTGTGAACCATGAGGGAAAGAAAACTGAGGGAGACCCCTAAGGGGATGCCAGGCAGTTTGGAAGTAGGTCACCATGAATTGAGTTAAGCCACACTGTTTTGTGATTACACACCTAAAATGTGAGGTCAGCTAGATTACACACCTAAAATGTGGGGTCAGCCACCTTAGTTTGCTAGGGCTGCTATAATAGTACCACAGACTCGGTGGCTTAAACGATGGAAATTTGTTTTCCTCTCATTCTGGAGGCTGGAAGTCCAAGATCAAGGTGTCAGAAGGGTTGATTCCTTTTGAGTTCTGTGAGGGAGGGATGTGTTCAAGACCCATCTCCTTGGCTTTTAGATGGCTGTGTTCACCTGTTTTCCCTCTGGGTCAGTGTCCAGATTTCCTGTTCTTACAATGACACCCATCATATTGGATTAGGACCCACCCAAATGATCTGATTTTAACCTAATCACCTGGGTAAAGACACTGTCTTCCATATATGATTACATTTTGAGGTACTTGGGGTTAGGATTTTAACATACAAATTTCTTTGTGGGAGAATACAATTCAGCCCATCACATGCACATACACTCAAGTTTTCAGCTAAGAAAATGAAAACTTGTACTGGTATTAATACAGGAAAGGAAGCTGAGGTGGGAGTCAGTTTATGAGGGAAGACAGAAAGGATGAAAAGGCATCAAGTGTTTACATACAGGTTGAGATGTCCAAATGCCCTGTTTGTTGACTGGTTACTAATAATGCAGATTTTGAAGACGAGTATACAGTGGGAAACCCACCACACTTGCAGTAATAGAATAACCAGGAGATTCTATCCTAAACATAATGGTGACATGATTTATCATGGTCCCCAGTCTTTTTTTGCATAAGATGAAAGAGAGAGACACAGACAGACACACGCACCCCAACACCACTGTGGCCACAGTTAGAACCCAGTGGATCAGTTTTTATTCCATGCCTCTCTACGTTTCATTCTCTGTGTTACTTCTCTTTCAGTATGCCTGGGATACAAATGAAGAGTATCTCTTCAAAGCAATGGTGGCTTTCTCCATGAGAAAAGTTCCCAACAGAGAAACAACTGAGTAAGTAAACAGTGAAAAGTCTTAATTGATTGTTTGCAATATTATTTGAGATAGAATATTAACTCAAAACTCAATCTTGAAAATAATTTATTTAAATATAATTTTTAAGAGACCCACATTTTAATTTAACATTAAAAAAACCTTTATAATCTAGGTCAGCTTATAGTTTATATCATGTTTAAATAATGCTCTTCATTCAATAGGCACTATGGAGATAAATATAAAAATTTGTAGTTATAGGTCATAAGCTTTCTACATTTCTATTTTATGTATAGTTCTCTTGTTGATACAATAGATGGAAAGAAAAGAGTTCTATTCTCATTGTATTGGTCTGCTCTGGCTGCCATAACAAAATACCGTAGACTGGGTGACATAAACAACAGATTTATTTCTCACTGTTCTGGAGGCTGAGAGTTGAAGACTAAGATGCTGACAAGGTAGGTTTCAATCTGAGGCCTCTCCTTTCAGCTTGCAGGTCCACCCAATCTTTGTATGCTCACATGGTCTCTTCTTGGTTGAAGGAGAACTGGCAGGGGAGAGAATGAGCATTCTGGAGTCTCTTTGGATGAGGGTGCTAATCCTTTCTATCTTAAATGACATCTCATTTAACTCTAATTATCTCCTTATAGGCCCTGTCACCAAATGCATTCACATTTAGGGTTAGAGCTTCAACATATGAATTAGGGGAGGAGGATAAATCCATAGCACTCATTTGAAAATAATTTACATATGTATAGGTTCATCGTACTGTTGGTATCTGTCATAGCACCTTGTTTATTTTCTTGAAAGTTTTAGTACAATTTTAATAGTTTTACATTTTTGTCTATTCTTCTGGAGGAATCTTCCCTATTTGTGATGTTTCTTTTCATCTCTATTTGTGATTAGGGTAACACTCCTGGTTTCTCTCTACCCTCTTCCTTCACTATTCCCCTTGAGAGGTGAAATGACTGGACTGATCTGATTGATGGGCTGAAAGGGGAAGCCCACGTGCTCTCAGCACACATTTTTCGTGCTGCTCCTCACACTAAATACAGAATCAGGCCCTGCCTGGGCAGGCTCGCACACCCTCATGGCTGTTTGTGCTGTCTACAGCTATGGACTGTTTAGATTGGTAGGTACCAGATCCTAAGGTGTTAAATATCTTGCCTCTTACTCCAGTATGTGGTGATAGCTGCTTTAGTTTAGCTCTCCGTGGGTCATTAGAGATGAATTTATCTCATTTCAGAATTTTTTTTATAATTCGAAAGGAAATTTACCTGCTGATGAAAGTCAATGAAGTCTTTTATTTTGGTCTCCTGTTTGCTTCATTCTTTTGTCTTCTGTTAAGAACCTAGCAAAGAGGGTTTCTATTTATTGGTCTTACTCAAAGCCACAATGTATTATGCACGAGCTGTGAATATAAGGAATAAAACAGAAGAGTAACATTTGGAGGAACAAAATAAACATACAATATGTGGATTTGTGTGTTCACACTCACATGTATTTTAAAATACATAACATATTCACATAATTCAGAAAATTAAAAGAAGGGGATGTAAGGTAAAAAAAAATGCCTAAGTGAACTCTACTCCTATTTTATAGATTTTTACAAAAGATATATTTACTTTTATCTTACACCTTTAAACTGAAGCATTCTTTCTGAAATGATATTAATATCCTTTTTAAAATAAAGAAAGTAGAAGATTGCCTTCTAAAAAATCAAAAAGGAAAAATATAAGGAGAAAAGGGAACCTTAGTACTCTGTTGGTAGGGATATAAATTGGTGCAGCTACTATGGAAAACAGTATGGAGTTTCCTCAAAAAACTAAAAATATGTGTAAGGGCGTAAATATATTTATTATGTTTGTAAAAATTCATTCTGTACAATTGCAGACCAAGGTTGCTCTTCTGTAATTTATGGGATATTATGTTTTAAAGACCATCTTGGAATACAGTTAGAGAACTTAGTATTTTGATGTACTAAGACCTATTTTAAGTTTAATATTTTACCTCTGCAAAAACTTTAAAGATGCTATTTTCAAAAAGTTTTAAAAAAAAAACCCTAAAAATAGAATTACCGTATGACCCAGCAGACCATTCCTGGTTATACATCAGAAGAAAGAAACATACTAATTTCAAAAGATACACACATCCCAATGTTCATAGCAATGTTATTTACATTAGCCAAGCTACAGAAGCAACCTAAGTGCCCATGAGCAAATGAACAGATATAGAAGATGTTGTGTACACACACACACACACACACACACACACACACACAAATGGAATACTACTCTACCAGAAAAAAGACTGAAATTTTACCATTTGCAACAATGTGGATGTACTTGGGAGGGTATTATGTTTAGTGAAATTACGTCAGACACATAACTGTGTGTTATCACTTCTATGTGGAATCTGAAAAATAAAGTAGACTTGTGAATATAACAAAAAGAAACAGACTCAGATACAGAGAACAACCTAGTGACTGCCAAAGGGGAGAGGGAAGGGGGAAGGACAAGACAGCGGCATGGGATTAAGAGGTAGAGTTTGCTGTATATAAAATAAATAAGCTACAAGGATATATTGTGTAGCACAGAAAATATAGCCAATATTTTATAACTATAAATGGAGTATAGCCTTTAAAATTGTGAATCAATATGTTGTACCCCTGAAATTTATATAATATTGTACATAAACTATACCTCAATTAAAAAAAATGAAAAACATAAGAAAAAAAGCCATTGGTCATCTCACAATGCTAAAACCCCTCAACTAGTCTCTTTTAATTTTACTGTTATTCTTGCTTAGCAGAATTTATACATACTGTTTTTTATTATACTCTTACTTCCTCTGAGTGCAAAATTTCATCTTGTGACTATGTTAAATCATGCTTTCATTCTTAGGAAAAGTTAATTTAAATTCATAATATTTTAGATTAATTTTGAGAAATTCACTTTTGAAATTTTTTATTTTCTCAAGCCTGCGCCTTGTAGGAGTCTATGAATATATGATCTGGTTTATTTGCTGAGATGTTTTAACTGGGTACATAGGCTATATATACTAGCTTTTGTTGCCAATGTCAGTGGAAAAAATTGAAAAGTGCAAAACTAGATTGGGGTTCAACAAATTTTTTCCGGTAAATGCTCAGTTTGAGTCTCTGCAGTACTGCTGTCAGAAGGCTGAGTGATGAGGGCTGCCTAAGGAATCAGGATGTGTTTAAGATGCAGTGCAGGTGCTGGGCCCAATTCTACATGTGCTGCCCTAAAGGTGGCTGCATATTTACATGAGCAGGTGGCCCTCTGGGAAAGGGGACCACAGGACACAAGATGGATTGGAAACAACTTCCCAGTCAGAATGCCTCTCCCAGGTGTGACAGGTAACAGAAAAACACCAGCAGCTTGGCAAAAGGATCAGATTTTAAATCTGCCTTTCAGAGGTCTTTTTGTGCTAGGGTCAGGCAGATTGAATTCTAGAGGGTGGGACGTATCCCTTTGAGGATGGCTTCAGGATGCAAATCGTGAACATTTGCCAGTTTTTTAAATTTTTTTTTCTGCCACATCATTGCTTATTCTATGGATACTGCAGAAAACTTAGAGATACTGAGGTGCACTGGATGGAAAATGTAAAGAACAGCTCACTAATGAGGGCTACCCTGGTGGCTCAGTGGTAAAGAACCTGCCTGCCTCCAGGAGACCCTGGAGACACAGGTTCGATACCTGGGTCAGGAAGATCCGCTGGAGGAGAGCATGGCAACACACTCCAGTATTCTGCCTATAGAATCCCATGAACAGAGGAGCCTGGAGGGCTATAGTCCATGGGGTCACAAAGAGTCAGACATGACTTAGCAACTCCACAACAACTCACTAAAGATAGCAATGAACAGAGTAATGAAGACTCTCAATTTCATCCCAGCTTTTACCCAGTCCTAACTACAGTATCTCTTCTATCAAGCATGATCACCTCCATGACACAGGGCTAGTGTCTCCTCTGCATATTTGGGAACCTATGAGCGGCCTACCCTTGACCCAGTAGAACCAGGATGGACTCTGCAGGACGGTGTTCCTTCTAGAGTGAGGTCCTGGCCGCCTCCATGCAGGACTTATGTCCAGGCACCATGACCCCACGCAGGCAGTGGAAGAGAAGGTCAGGGGTCCCAGAAGCAGAGGTGTGGGCCTACAGAGAGGGGGCGGGGTGTCCCCACCACCCTCCCCGGAGGACGGGTGGGATGGGTGGCAGCGGTCTGCACGCGCAGCCCACAGGGAGCTGACAGCTGGGTCCATGTGAGGAGCTGGTGCCCCGGCCACAGCAGTGCCAACCTTGCCTGCTCGCCTGCCCACCTCAGGTCACGCAGAGCCACCAGTAGAGAGAGGAGTCGTCTGTGAGAGGAGAGATGGGCACGTCGCTCCCCAACTTGCACACGATCCAAGGAGTAGCATGAGAGTGGCAGCACCTGGAACTCTGGTGACAGTGTACCCAGGCACCGAGACTGCCCTGTGGGTGGGATAGAGACTGGTGCCTGCCCCTCAGCTGGAGAAGGCTGAAGGTGAAGGCCAGCTCGAGCCTGCATGAGGGAGAGGGGGGCGGCTTTGCCAGCAGTCTGCGCCCAGATGGCTGCTGGGGCCAAGTGGAGGCCACTGAAGGGAGCTGGACGGGCCTGTGGGGCCCAAGATCCACGTGCAGGGCCCAGGGAAGGCGGAGAGTGGGCAGGCAGGGCGAGATGGAAGCCATCGTCTGTGCCAGGGAAAGGGCCAGTGCAGAGGTCGCCACACCTTCTCCGAAGGCCCCAAGAGCACTCTGGATGGACAGGAGGGCGCGCCGTGATGAGGCCACCATCAGGCAGGGGGCGCACGGGGAGCCCACCTGGGGAACCAAAGCTGGCCTTTTCCTCTCCTGCAGATCCCCGCCCCCTCCCCTGTCCCTTTTCCATCCCTCAGTGAGCAGGAGTGGGGGAGGTCAGGGGCTATGGGCAGGAGGAGTGGAGCCTGGAGAGCAGAATGCATCCTGCACAGGCCAGCCCAGTG